CCCCAAAACCCCAAAACCCCAAAACCCCAAATTGAAAGAAGGATAACTAAGATAGTGAAAGATAAGTGATAAATGTTATAAAATTTATTTAGATTTATCTTAGTTTATAAAAGTATTTACAATTCAAAAATGTCACTCTTATATGTCAACACTAATATTAATATTACTCTTATGATATTATGGAAATTGGGAAAGGTTTTCATTATTGTTATCTTTGAGATTTCTCATCTGTCCTACTACCTCTTCTCTAATTAACAGATTGAATTTTAACCCAGTTTTGAATGGCAACTTCTTATCTTTCCTTACGCTATTTATCATGTGCTAACTTAAGCTTCTCTGCAAATGTCAAAAGTCTACCATTACTAGTATAACTACCAGTAGATTTTTGAAGCTAACCCATATTCATGTGCTAGCTTCCTTAGAGAATACTCTAAATATTTAGACTGCCAGGATGATCGAATCCTAGCATGATACTGTTTAAACTATTAATGCTTCCAAAGTTATTGCCAAAAGGAATCCCAGGAGGATCAAGATAGTTCCTTTATTGATTGTTCATTTATTAATGATTTTAAAGGAACTAGCCCATATTGAGCTGAGAATTGAAGTTGAAGGAATTAACACTATTGATGCTTTTGTTAAAATTTCCTTGGTGAGGTGGGATTCCAGGCATACCTTAGGATTAAAATGATTTCATATAGGCAGAGCCCATACTTTATTAAGATATCCTATTTTACATAAGCTTTGCTGCTTCCATGCTTTCTTGCAAGGCTTTAGGATTTTTCACTAATTATCGATTAAAGTGCGAAAATACTTACTTAGAACAAACGGGTGATACAAAAGCTCTTACGCAGTTGGTCTCTTGGTCTGATCTTGCTCAAAGCAGTAATCGAGGAATCCCTTACATTCTTTAGAAATGTTATCAGGATACTTTGGAGGCTTCCCATGTGTTTTAATTAAATCCATTATTGTTTTAGCATCTTTACCATACTCAATCCAGGGAGGTTTAGATGTAAGCATTTCTATAACACAACATCCAAGACTCCAGATATCAGCTGGCTTACCGTGGCCTATTTTCTACATAATTTCAGGGGCCATCCAGTATGGAGATCCAATAACTGATTTTGACAGTTTTTCATCCACGATCTCTCCATACTAGTTAAAATTTTATATAATCTTCTTACTAGCTCCAAAATCAGACAGTTTCACTACACCCATATTATCAACTAGCACATTTGCACACTTCAAATCTCTATGAATAATGTTATTTTCGTGAAGATAGTTTAGCCCCTCTAGCATTTGTCTGGTATAGATCTTTACAAGTCTTTCATCAAAAGCCAAAAATTTATCCAGTAATTATCGGATAGATCCACCTGGCACTAGCTCCAGCAATATATCTGCTCCATTTCCATCTTAACTTATCTCAGTACTATAGTATTTAACAATATTAGGATGATATAAGCTCTAGAGTAGCTAGATCTCATGCTTAATCGTCCTAAGTTCTTTTTTTATGGCATCATTTTTCATTTAAAACTATGATAAGTTGTTTCGGTTATTAATTTACTTTGATTTATTTTATAGCAAGCAGTTGTCCTGTAGCCATATCTAATCCCTAGTAAACTTTTCCATAAGCCCCACTACCTATGAGCTCGCCAATACAGTACTTAATAGGTTCTGATTCATCTAAAAAAATGTTTGAATTAAATTTTATTTATACCATGATCAATTTAATTCTCATGAATCAGATCAGAAATCTCCTTTTTATAATCAAGATCTATATATTATATAAATAATAAAATAAGTTACCTTATTTCGCCTGTTTTTCTTGTTCTTCAATTTTTTGAGATTTCCTGCGCACTGACGCACGTCGGGAAGGGACTCTTTAAGCAACTTCACTAGGTTCAGTTTTTTCAATATTAACTGTCGATAGCTGGTCTAATCCAGTTTACGATTTAAGTTACTTGACTACTTTTCTAATTTTCTTCTTTGGGATGGATGTAGATCCTCCCATCTCTTGATGTGATTTAGTCCTTTTATGCCCTGCTATGTTTGGTGGTACCAATAATGTATTGGCTTATTTGAGTACGTCATTTCGTGTCTCTTTATGAAAAGATTCCTCAACAATAGGTTATAGTTAATGTTACTCCTAATTGTGGTGCAGGTTTTGAAACATATTTGAGTTAATTGTCGAGTTTTTTAATGTTGTTTAGATTGTTCCATCTGTTATCTGGGTCGAAGCACCGTGTTAAGTAACAGTATTTGCAATCGAACCTACTTCAGTTTTTGAAATTTCAGATTAGTCATCTCTATTCATGCTCAATTTTGTAGTTCTAGCAACTTTATGAGATTGCATTGAACTCGATTTCTAAAACCTTATTTTCTTTACAGGACTGTTTGTTGCTGAATTTCCTTCCATAGACATTTATCCATTTGAATAGTTTGATGTTTAAGACAGAGTATTATTAAAGTCAGAGTTATTCTAAATAAGCATATAAGTTAATATATATATATTTACAGACTTAACATGTAGCCTCTTAGTTTTAACTCTTCGAATTTTCTTCTTAAATTACTGTATCTTTTACAAATTTTCATCCTCTAATAAATATGATAATTAATATGAAAAAATGTTACCTGCCAAAGTATTATTATCCCGAATATCATCAAAGTCCTCAACTTTTATATCCTAAAACACTGTGTTTCCAATAAGCTCTGACTAATTCGTTTTCGATTGTTTGATCAAATATTGCTGCCTACCATTAGCATTTCCTTATCTCATTTATTCTATCAAGGTCATGTTTCTTCCTTGAATGGTTGAATCTCCTACTGAGTGTCCCTCATGGTATTGACTCATAAGTTTGACTTCAACCCCTTTTTTGACACAAACTTAACCCATTTTTATATATATCTCTTCGATAATTAATAATTTGTAATTTTATTCAGAATCCATTTTAATCCTATTTTTATCGGTATTAAGGGGTTTTGGGGTTTTGGGGTTTTGGGGTTTTGGGG